AGGTCTTAAAGGGTTAATGTGGTTTTCTTTTCTTCTAGAATGTAACTCTGCAGCTCCTTAGTGCCAAAGGCGGGGCTGCAACAAGACCAATTACAAAAGAGGAGGAAACGGCGGAGGAAGAGGAGAAAGAAGAGGTTGAAAATGTGAAACAACAGGAAGAAGAACCTCACCAGAATGTGCACATAAATGGAGAGACAGAGGTCAGAAAGGAGGAGGAGGAGGAACATGTGGCTGATTCAGATTCTCATCAAGTCAGGGAGACTCGTGAGGATCAGGAAGAAGCAGCTGAGGAGACGGTGTGCGAGTCAAACACAACAACTCAGGCAGAACATTCAGAAAGCACAGATATCCATCATATCCATCCAGTTTCAACGACTGAACTCGAATCGGAAGAGCTGACAATAACGGCAGCAGCAGAGTGCGAGGTACAGGAGGAGGAGGGGCAGCGACCTGCTCCTGAAAGCTCTGCAGAAGATAAAGACACCAGCAAGTCTTTGGATCCAGATGAGCGTTCACCTGACGATGGGCAAGGTGCTGTGTCGGAAACAACCGCTGCAGTGACCAGCGAGGCATGCGTGGACAGCGTGGAGGATGATGGAGAGGATGTAGGAGAAAAAAATGCTGCTTCTCATAAAGCCTTTGGACCCCCATCCAACCCGCCTCCCCCACCGAGTGCACTTCAGGACACCTCGGGAGAGAACAGGTGAGTACAGGTCATAACGGCTGGTGGTAAAGTCACGAGTTTGATTTTGTGGCTCGGCTTGTCACAAAGCAAAAAGCCTCATCGGCCTCCCTACAGACTGGGAAGCTGCGTCCATTTTTCATACACACTTTATGGTTAATGTTATTCCAGCCAATCACAACAATGTTTCAGTAAAACTATACACACAGGACAGAGTGAACATTGATCTGTTACATGGTTGCTTTAATTGTACAAAGTCATTTCTATTATTTCATGACATATTTAATCGTTTTTTTAACAGCAGGGCTCATGTACTTCGTCATGTGAGGACTTATAATTCGTGCTTATAAATGCGTCCTTGAATGCATCACGTTTCAAGTATTCTTTTTTTAGACTGTGGTGGCAAACAGCTGTCAGTAAT